CTGACGGCAGCCCGGTATCCTAACGGTATCCTGACGGCAGCCCGGTATCCTGTCGTCAGCCCGGTATCCTGTTGGCAGCCCGGTATCTGGTCGGCAGCCCAGTATCCTGTCGTCAGCCCGGTATCCTGTTGGCAGCCCGGTATCCTGTCGTCAGCCCGGTATCCTGTCGTCAGCCCGGTATCCTGTTGGCAGCCCGGTATCCTGTCGGCAGCCCGGTATTCTGACGGTAGCCCGGTATCCTGTTGGCAGCCCGGCATCCTGACGGCATCCTGACGGTATCCTGACGCAGTGTTGGACAAGTCCCATTGCCCACTTGCCCAGGGCAAGTAAAAACACTGTTCGGGCAAGTGAATATCCCCCTGTACTTGCCCGATTGGGCAAGTCAATTTTTTGGATGCAGTGTTCGGAGCAAAATTATACATCATTTTCAAATAAAGATATTTTATTCATACCAGTCAAAAATATGCCCTTTTGTCAGAATTGTCATAAAAGTACCCTTATGTTGATAAATACCGGTAGTATAAACTTTAAAGTACTTTTTTATTGAAAAATAAAATAAATTCCTTTCTGCAACTAAAATGCGTCATATTTTGGGCAAGTGAAAAGTTGGCTCGGGCAAGTGGAAATAACCATGTAGTTGCCCGATAGGGCAAGTGGGTTTTTGAAAACTTGTCCAACCCTGCTGACGGCAGCCTGGAATTGTTATATAATAACTAACAATACTGTGCTATCGCAGTCCCAAATAGAAATCATTAAAAGTACACACATACATGTACGTACTGTTAGATATCATAATAGTTACAAACAAGAAGCCGTGAGTGTGCCGTCGTTACGTCTTGTGATTAAATGTTGGAAATTATTTTTAAAAATGTCAGTTATTAAAAATGTGATCTCAAACATGACTAAGTCCCCTCGGTCTATTATCTTGGCACCGTCCCAATCTATTGCACAGTTATTTCTTGTAATGTGGTCTGTGACTAGTACTGCTGACTTGTTTTCTTGTTTCTCAGCTTCTTTCTTTCGTGCTCTTGTGTACCTCCCTGTGTGAACTATGTAACACCTCTAGTGCACTATGCACCAAGTAACATCTAGAGTCAGTGCACAGTAAACCAGTCAGAATTGCCCTAATGAAGATAGCAGACGATCATCGAAACGTCGGCTTGAAAAATAAATGGTTGTGATCAAAGAAATTTGTAATTCATTCGTTTACCAAACTAATGACATTATTTACGGATATTGATATCGCTTTACAAAAATGCTCTGCGAAAGTTGCACAAGCAAAATTACGCAAAGGCGTGTAGTGTGGGCACAACATGTCTTGTATGATACTTTCTTTGAAAACTGGAACCTTACCTTTCGCAATGCTGCCTTAAGCCTATTAGTAAACCAATAGATTATAGTTAGCCTAACAAGTTGAATGTGTTAAAGGTTATAGATGTATGTTTACGGCACACCTGTATAATGTTTCTGCCTCAATTTCAATATGTGCCTCAAAACAATAATTATGTACCGTCAGTTTCCATGTCACAGTAGACCTCTACACCGGGCAGAGGTGAGCCAAGTGTGTAGACTCCACTGGTCGTGTGTCCGGCGGCTTTAAATGCAGCACAATCTGGGGAACGGTAAATAGCTTTTAACAGGGAAAATGTACAATGTCATGTCCGAAATGTTAATATGTCAGACTAGAGTAGTGTCTTGATCTGACAATGTTTGCAAAGCGTAATCCACCAGTATCACCATTTTAAGTCTATAAACAAGCAGCAAAAACACGATTGGCATACCGATATAGAGGAAAGTGAACCACGAGAACAAGCAACTAGCAAAATGTTTAATATCATGTTTGTATGACTTACATAACAATACATGTAAGATTGTGTAAGTGTATTGGCACATGTATGATTGACTATGTGTGCATGTTTGTGAATGTATCCGAATTTATGTGTTGTAGTTCCTGTTTGTATATGTATGTAAGTTTGTATATTCATATGTGTGTATGTATGTATTTGTGTGTTGTTTGTACAATGTACATATAAGTATGTGTGTGTGTGTATGTGTGTGTTCATTGTGCATGCATTTATGAACGTCTATGTGTGTACTTTGTGTGTATGTTAGTGTGTGTGTGTGTGTGTGTGTATGTGTGTGTGTGTGTGTGTTGTG